CCAAGTGGGGTTATCCTACTTAGGGTGGTTTTTAGGTATCGGGTTCTGGTATTCCTAACACAAGCAATGCGAAATATAATATCGACTAACCCGGCCGCTTAAATGGAATGGGATGCAAAAAGCTACTGTGACTTTACCCGTACCATTCAAAGTAGCCAATCTGTGTATCTAATACCTTAGCTCCAGTGTTCAAGAAGATCAAAATGCTAGACTGCATCATGCAAAGTGGTTGGCAAGCTAATTGGAGTCAGCTTCAGAAAAGTAGAAAGATGCAAAAGAAAGGGGTGAACCTGAGGAGACATCTCCCCAAAGTAAGGAAATGTGATGGGAGGAAGAACTCCCAACTCCAACAGTACTAGTTGGCGACCTCACTGATAGGAGTGATAATGGGACTAACGAAGAAAAGGAAGAAAAATATGGAGGAAGACCATCCAGATTCAGATAGAGATTAATCCCTAAACAACATAGAGTAGCAGATGTATTTGCAGAAGCATTGGCATAAACAGTCAAGTGACTAGCAGATCCACCTCTATTTTTGATAGCAAAGATGTGTTAATTCGTCTACTATTGGTTAATACAATACGTGAATTACTTTGAACAAAATCCCAGGACTTGGAAAGATGATGGGAAATGGATCATTTATGCTCTGGGGAGAACAAAATAGGAACAGGTTAGACCAATAGCTATATGGTATTGATAGGTAAAGAATAGCCTCTGAGGAGAACAACAAGATACTGCCCTACTCTCATGCACTCATATTGAGTACAGGTTTACTAATCAATACGCACCACTTGAGGAAGGGTAAGAGGCCATAAGAGAAATGGAAACAGTTGGATACAAGAATGATATTCAGACTTTTATGCAGACTATGTACAATCTAGTCATTTATGTCTAACTTATAGGATCAGCATGGGATATAATAGTAGACAAAAAACTATTGATCAAACTTAAATAGGGACTCTCTCTAAATAAATATAACACTGTTTTAGAGTTTGAGAAAGCAGTCCAAGAAGCAAGCAGAGAAGAGGAGAAATAGTAGGAGTGGAACCACCTAGAGCAGGATAAACAGAAAGTATCCAAATGATTCTCTGAAAAAAATCCTAGGGAAAAGAGTCAACAAATGATAAAAAATGGAAAGACCAATATCAAAGATGGTAGTCCCTTCTCTGAGAAGCAAAGGCAGGAACCAGAACCCAAAATACTGGCAATAAGATTCACTGGAACAACGAAGTTGACACATACAAACTTGAAGAAGGCCGATGAATTAATTGCCCAGTCAATAATTGATGAAAGAAAGAACAAGGGCGATTGCACTGGTTTTAGAAAGGAAAATCAGGAGTACAAAACCTGCTGGGAACAAATTAAGGTATCTAGGACAAGGGCAGAGAATCACCCAATTGAGACACCAAGGCCTCAAATGGTGGCAGTAGTTCAACATTCCAGAAAGGTTTCTACCATCCAGTTTCCCAGAAATAATAAGATCTAGGAACTAGGAGAAAACAAGGAAAAGACTTAATTTATTTCATTAGTACAAACAATGATAGTGTTGGGTAGTTTAGAAGATTATATTCTCTGGGGGTTGAAATCAATGACAACTAGGCATTAAAGCGAGAGAACTAACTCTGCAATCATGACCCGAATGAGAGGACATGCTTCCCTCTTGCTAAAAGGTCAAGGGGATCAATAAAAAGCAATGTACATCTTTACAGCACTGCTATGCTCTCCAAGAGACTATTACATATTTGGTCATAATAGCTAGACTCATGATCAGTGCGGTAGTCAGGCATTTGACCTGCAATCTGAAAGATCTCTGATAAGTACCAAAACTGGGACAAGAAACTAACAGCACCAAGGGCACAGAACAGGAAGTGACAGTAGGACTAAGATGAAGGATCTAGAGAGATGAGTGTAGTATATTTTTGACCAATATGGGAATAAGTACAAGAGTTCTAGACCTTACCTTTAGATACAATTTCTTAGATGCTGCGCTGGTACCAAATTGGTACCCAATAAAATGAGGATCCTGTTTATGGTCAAGTGAGCATGGATAATAAGCAGAGAAAGGTTATCAAAGAGTCAGCCGACCAGCCCTATACTCCTAGCTTTTATTTACATGATATCTAGATAATAGCAGAGATATTCTAGATTGGTTCTACTAGTAGTAAAAGTGGACAGTATGGGAACTCCTTGGCAGGGGGTAAAGACTGCTAGTAGTAGGCTGTCTAATATACCAGGAAAACAGGTTTGTCTGAGGAGACCTAACTGATCAAAACGGCCTGGGTGTAGTAACAAACATTCCAGTTGTTATCAAACCGTAAATATATTGAAGTGACAAAATGACAATTGGACCCCTTACCTCAAGAGACGTGCATCTAATGCACCACTACCTACAAGATATAACCATCCTGAGAGACATGCTTATATCAATATTATGAACCCCTGAAGGCAATGCTATAAAATACAAGTACTATTAGATTCAGTATCCAACATGTTCCTAATCAATAGAGAACTCGTAAAGGTATTAAAAATTCCCCTCACAGAGCAACTGAATCATGTCAGCATTCAAGGCTTTAATGGAGTATCATCTCCATCGTGAGGACAGTTCTATACATGTTCAGTGTAGCTTGAAATTGGATAAAACAAATACTAGTCTAAAGTTGCGTGTAAAAGGACGTAGCAGGGAACTATGGAATAATAATTACTTTTGGGTGAAACTATTCAGAACACCTCCTGTCCAACATTGGGGAACCAATGAAATGGAAATTTAAGGACCTCAAATGCAAGACTTCCATGGAAGAGTAAGATAAAAGAATCGCAGATATGTTTGAATACAAGGAGAAAGTGGCCTGGGATGAAAATCCTATACAGATTGGATGGATTGAAACCATAGAAAATTATTATGAGTTCAATTTCGATTCTCTTCCAAAATACTACTGGAAATTACGGAAGCTACTATTTCTTCTACAAATAGTGGTGAAACAAGTACTGAGGAGAACCTTTAACCACGGAACAAAACTGGTTGAAGGAGCAAAGCCCTCTTGGGAACCCATTTATCCTCTCTCCAATCAACAGCTTAAATTACTAGGAGAATACCCTGACGCTATGTTACAGCAAGGGAAGATTAAGCAAAACCAATAGCCCATTGGTACTCTATTCTTTTTATACCAAAAGGAGATGGAAGACTACCACTAGTAGTAGATTAGTAGTCATAACTGAAAAGAACATTATCGAGCCTTTCTAGACATTCTCTGTCTACATCAAAGATTCTGGACTAAGTCTTCTCAACGTATATTAGAGTTAGCTTCCACCTAACAACTACATAAAGATGGAGTAAGGAGAAGGGAAATACAAGCAAGAAAACTAAATAAGTACTACAACAGAGTTTCCAAGAAAACTCTACTGTAGTCAACTGTATAAGAAGCTTAGCTAGTTATAAACTCATATTAAAAACATTTTGTTATAGTCAATTACACAACTGATACATATTTGGAACTCATATTACAACAACTACCTTTTCTATTCACTTGTTACATGATAATAGTAGACTATATGAAGACTTAGTGAGGTGGCATTCTCAGTTAGCAGTAGTGAGAATTAAAAGTAAAGGCTTCCTGATTTTAACTAGAGTATAGTATGGAACCAGCAAAATTCACCCTCTATTTAGTCTTCTCAGAAAGTTTAAGTATGCTGAATTATTAGTACCTGAGAAAAAGCTTTAAAAATAACTCCTCCAGTAGATTTGTAGAGAATTCTTTACCAAATCTCTAATGACTTTTATCTTATTCACATTTGGTTGTTGAGTCCAAAACCTATTACCGGAATCCTGCTGCAAACAGCTCTTTAATAAAGTCAAGCAATATCCTGAATTCCAACTATAACTACAATAACTTTAATTATCACCTTATGAAAAAACTCCTACTATGGACATGCTCTAATTCATTGTTTAAACAATTAATTCCACCTGAGGAAATTTTCTTAATAAGCCTCACCAAGAAGTAACCATTCTGAATATATAACTTTGGCATCCAGTTGGCCCTTGGAGCAGGTTTTGGTTTTCCTGCACCACACTTGAGTATAGTAGTCAAAAACAGGAAGCTTTTGGTACCAAGTTTCGCGGCGCCTCGCTGTAGGCGCCGCCTTGCTGAGCCCTCATATTGTCTACGGGCATAGACCTAGTCTTCTGTAATACCATTCTTGCATGGTTATTACAAACAAGCTTCTCTATACGGTCATTACAGGAAGACCAGTACCTGCTCAACTCATACTAATAAGATTCTCAGAAACCTCCTTCTTTGTCCTACCTCTTTCTTCCTATTCAGTCCAAAATAGTCATCTGCTTATACTTGGCACGTAAGAGGGCTCGCTCTTCCCATGCTTGCCAAGCAGCACCACTCTTTTGCTCTCCCGGTTGTGGTATTACTTATTACTCCCCCCCGTAGTGATCACTCCTCCTCACTTCGAACAATCAACGGATCGGGGGCAACAGTTTGCTGTTGACTATATTCGAGGTCTATTTTGGTGTGGTTATGGATTACGGTTAACTTACCACGACTCTCGAGTTTCTTCATTTGTTCACTAGTGTCTTGGTCTGACATCTTAGATAATTTTTGATAACATCCACCACAAAGTCAAATCCCACCAGACTCTCCCTCCCATACCCCGACAAAACAATGCAATGCAAAGAGAGCAGGGGAAAAGGAAAGAAAAAATACTCTAGAGTAGACTATAATGCAAACTATTAAGTGGAAAGATAAAAGTGAGGCAACGCCTCTCTATATACTATTTGACTAAGCTAGTAATTAAGTTATGGTACGGGAAGGAGCGGGCATTCTCCGCCTCCTGCTTGGAAGAAGGAAAGAAAATAGGAGGGAACGGGGAGAGCGAGGAGTCTTCTATTCGTCGTCCATCCGCATTCCAGAGATATCAAGGTCCGATCCAACTTCCTCGGCGCTGTCTTGTGGTCCTTCGTTTGGACTACCCATTGGCGTGTCCTCGGGGGAACCGCCGTCTTGTCGGGGGGGGAGGGCGTTTCTGGCTTTGGGACTCTGTAGCGGGCTGTTAGTTACACGTGGGTAGAGAGTAATGAGGGGCAGGTAGGTAGAGAGGAATATACTGAAGGCTGGGTGGTCGGCGCAGCGATAGTTTTCCCACTTGTGGACACAGTGGTAACGAACTTGCAAAGATTACACGCTTTGGAAATCAATTCCCTCTTTGTAACCCTGGTCATCTTCCCTCTAATGGGCAGATCGTCCAATTTGGAGTGTGCGGCAGCCAGATTCACAGCGTTGGTGTCTGCGGACGGCTGCTCCTCAAAAATCAGGTTCTTGAGTGACATCGGGTTTGCACGGGCCTCGAGTTCTTCCTTTTGCATAGTGTTTTGCTTTAGGACTTCAGGGACTAGCTCCATGTATAGCTTTGCATAGGAGTCCGAGAGGAGATCGTCTATTAGAGGAGTTCTAGCGAGACCCGCGTTTAGGCGGCGGAGCTCAAAGACTTCTCGCAGGAGGTCAAGAGTCGAAGATGTGGTTGTGATGAGGTTGCAGTAGGCATCTAGGCGGGTGCTACAGGCATTGAACTCATCGTATGAGACGTTTTTGAAGACTTCTTCGTCGCTCTGTTCCGGTATGTTGCCGGTTCGCCGGAGAACTCGCATGTAGGCTAAGAAAACGTGTAGCCAGACTTCGGCATGACGGAAGAAGCCTGTGGTTCCTTTGCGCACCCTCTTCGTTACGGCTTCTAATGTGGTCCGATCGTCTAACTTTTCTAGTAGGTCGACGTAGAACATGGTGTATTTTGAGGCATATACAAAATGTCTGCCGGTTCTGTATTACACCATTTACACGTTAGTCCTTTAGATCCAGCGTCGAGGGCAGAAATATATACCTCTCATTTTCGGGCTTCCAAATGCTTAGGCTGACTGACTTATTCGAAAAGAGACAAGAAATTTCAGCCTTTGCCCCAGCAACGTCACCCAACTCGGAGTACTTAAGTTTCCCTGCCCTGTTTGTCATGCGGTGATGCCATTTCGGTTTGTCCGCCGTTCGCATCCTCCTTAGGACCTCTAGAATATACTTAACAAAGGATCCACGGTCCTCGACAGGCTGCATCTTTTTCGTAAAATGCGAGACCTGTAGTATTTCGCACGCTCGCTCGGGCTACCATTGAGGTTAGCAACGTGGAATCGATGGGACAAGTGCAATCGCAATTGTGCTCACCGTCACAAAGCCCTGTAAAACGTATTTGCAAGTACTTGAGACCAGCCTATGGTGAGGCTCAAAGATATGATCACTGCCGACCTTCTCGGGGCAGTGTTTGATTGCCTGGACGTATTTTCCCAAGACTTCTTCTGCGGTATACATGTCAGCTTTCTTCAGAAGTTTGCCCATACACTTTCCGATCATATAATACGCTCTGTTAATCGTTAGTATGACTCTTGTACGTGTGGAAATAGCTATGTAGGGTACTTACTTCCAATTATCAGGGGCCTGCTGCAAAGACTTTTTGAATAGTGCCATGGCGAGTTTCAGCCCCTTGGTGAGTGATAGACCCTTGTGCGCGGGGCCTTTGTATACACCTTCTCCGCGTGTCCCCGAAAAATGCCTATCAAACCCTTCCATCGAGAACGCTTCCATCTCCATTGGAGCTCTAAGGGAAGAGTAGACCCTTGTGCCAAAATCAGCAAAGAGCGTAGACAGAGTTTTCGCGCATCCCAAGCCTTCGATGCATTCGTTCTGAATAGCAAGCGATAATGTCTTCATATAACATAGTATTGCTTTCTGCGAAATGATATTAGTGGGCCGAGAATGTTTGGAGGGAAATAGGGTTCATAGGGAAACGCAAAACATACTCGTTCTAGCGCAGCAAGCTCCCCTCTCCTAGTGTTAATCTGTTCAGCACTCCAGGTCTGACCGTCCTCCATTTGGGCTTCATAAGTCTGACCCAGTCGATACCAGGTCTCCCATTTATTGGCATTGCACACTAGATCATACTTAAAGAACCTCACCGCATTTTCCACATCATCAGGTTTTATTGATCCAACTCGCTTCTGGTGTTTGATGGGAAAGAGGTAGATCTTCCCAAGAGTAAAGTAGAGGCCCTTTGCTGCTACTCGGGCATGCAGGCCACTCACTTCGGTGGTGTTGAGCGAACCCTCGCCTTTCAGGCTGCTGAACAACCTGAGGGGATTTATGGAGCTGCGAAGGTACCGATCTATCACTGATTCATTGAGGACGATCTTATTGTTCGAGGACTTTCTGGGAGGGCCGAGAACATCGAAAAGCTTCTCTAAGGCACCTTTCAAGTCTGATTTGTGTAGCTGCATATCTTTCTTTTGGGATGCTAAGAGGAGGATGAAATCCATCAACTGCATTGCCGTCGCTTTGTCGAAGGGCTCTGGATCTGTCTTGTGGTCGTTGAAAACAACCTGATCAGACTGTAATTTTCGAAGTTAGAAGGGCGTTATTCTATGAGCACGGGGGTTGTTTACGTATATAGCAAGATGAAATCGACAGAAAATGCACTGCAACAGATCGTGATCAAAATCTCGAAGATCGAGTCTCAGAAGTTCATCATGGGTTAGTCTCAGTAACGCATCTGGGGTTCCGAAAATTAGCTACTGCACAATAGAAGGCTTCATAGTGGAGGGCGCAAGCTTACGATCTGACAGCCGGCAGTAATTTCTGCCTCCAAGCTCTTGATGCATGTCCCTTAGGAGGGTTGCCAATCGTTCCTCCTTTTCACCTTCCTCTAAATCGAGGTTGTCGTTACCCATCCCTCTGTCCGCTGTTTCTTTATAAATTGAGTACATCACTACCCAAGCTCGTACGATCATTTCCCTAAATTTTACTACGACCAGGCGGTAAGAATGTAGGTTGCTAGCCGAGATCTCATGGTTGAGAACAGCACTCTCCCAAAAAGCGTAGCAATGTAAAAGTCTCAGCAAGATAGCCATTGACTTCATCGAGTCCACCAGCCCATCTCGATCAATTCCAGACAGATTCACCAATCCTTCACCCCCAGAGACGAGTCCCAAAATTACGGGCAACATCTCTTCCACGAGACGTAATGACCGCAGTAGAACAAAGTGGCGATGGTCCTCCGAAGATTCGAGGTAACTCCTACTTTTCAAATCGCCAACCACAACCTCTAACGATCTCAATACACAAGAAAGGACTTTTTGGCGATGACCTGCTTTTTCGTGAGCTACTTTGAGCTTCTCCCAGAGGTGCAACCTAAACATTGCACTGGATCCTTCGAGAAATCTGGTTATTTCATCGAGTATCCTGCGTTCTTGCTCGTCGTACGGGCTACCAACACCGGGTTCCAATACGGCTTCAAGAATTTCGATAACCTCATAGGGGTCATTTGCTGCACCCCCTATATCGGCCGTGACTTGAAATATAGATGTAAAGAAATCAACAGTCTTAAGCTTACTGATTTCCCGCTCGGCCCTCAGGGCAGAGATTTCTGGCATGATGGAGCTGTTGGGAAGCTCAATTGAGTGGAGCTTATTGTTGGACATAACACCCTTCAAATCGCCAAAGCATTCCAACCTGAACTCTCTAGAAACACCGGTAAATGCCGTGAAAACTGCAATAGCCCAAAGACATCTCATGGTCAATTGATCCTCCAGAATGCCATCGCTACCTTTTGGACGACAATACATCAGATCTCTGACTAGGAAACTCCATCTCTTTGCCTTCTCCCTTCTGATCTCCAGTTCCTCTTCTCCCCGGACTGAGAGTTCAGCACCGCTCTTTTGCCGCTCTCTTGCCGCCAAGTCACCAAGATATATTTCGAACATGGTTTGGGCCCACTCGATTCTGGCGTAATCATCATCTCCAAATTGGTGGGGATTAGCTGCAAAGTCTTCCAGGTATCCCTTGAAGTAACCCCAGCACATCTCCTCGCACATATTAGCCATTGCGGCTACAACCTCTTTCAAGGGCTCTGGCCAGCTATGCCGGACCCAGCTGCTAGCTGTTGATGTTCCTAATGACCCCCGGATCCTCCTGGCTTTCCGTAAGTTGGGGACATCCCGCATGCATAGGGCTTTCAGCCACTCAAAGCCTGCCTCCAACGGACTCAATCCACGGGCATTGACAGAGTTGACCCATTTTCTAAGATTTTCGTCCCCAGATAAAACAGGTCGAGATGGGACATTGGCTTCTAGGTCCAGAAAGGCCATCCCTTGAGCAGCTCCATCGGGGGATTGTATACCATCTCCATATAATAGGACATTTCCCTTATCGTCATCCCAGTCCTGTAATATCTTTTTGAAGTCGTCGAGATATAGATCCTCTTTCGCTCCGTTGTTTTCGCCACTACTGCTGCTCGTCTTGGGCATCAAGCTTGAGGCAGTTCCTAATGAAACACCAAGAGGGGAAAAGCATTCATCGGCAGTGTTAAACAGCTTTTCATTCTGCGTTTCCTGCCGAACCTTTTGCCTGGACTCAGGAGCTGCCGCGGCCGCAGCCGCGGCTGCGGCGTCTGCCTCCTTCTTATCGCGCTGTCTCTTGCTCAACCTTGACCTCCCTCCATCCCCACCATCTGCGCCTAACGAAGCAGACTTACGTTTTCGAGTTGCAGAGCCACTTCGACGCCGTCCAACAACGGGTGGGGGTACAGGCTCCACAGCAGAGGCATCAGTCATGGCCGTATCTTCGTTTTCTTCGGCGGTTGCTGTTTCCGATTTTCCACCAGATCCAGGAGTAGGCTCATCAGGAGTGGTTTCTCGAGAAATGTCCTCTCCCTCTAGAATAGGGATAATGATTTGCAAACACGATGATGCATTGAGGGCTTGCGCCGAAATGTCATCGCTAGATATCTGAGACAGTATCGCATTACCGACTGCCGGCCATGTTCTTAATCTAGCCTCGGCTGTCTGCTTATTTATTGTTATTTTTTGCAGAACATCTCCAAGAGTTCTTGTATCTTCCTCCTTCGGAAGAGGAATCCAAGGGTACGGGTTTGTGTATTTCTGGAATCGTGGGTGTAGTTTTTGCTTTGACAGATGTTTGATTTTGTCGCTCTCGAGAACTGCCGTATCGCAAATCTTCCTGAGGACATCCCTAAGTTGTATAGTGGCAAGGTATTCCTCCGGATTAGGGATTCCCCCTATCACAAGTGCAAGGGTATCATTTCCCGAATCTGCACCGACGGTTTCGTGGTCCAGGACTGACTCTAATGCAAACCGGGTGAGGCGGGAGGAATCAATCGCTAACGACAGTTGAGCAACCTTACGCCACAGAGAAGAATCTCCTGCATCCCTTCCGAGTGCTGTAGAAAACCAGTCTAGTGCCTGTTGAATTGTAAGCCCAAACTCTGACCCAGCTTCAACTCCGCTAGCTTTTAATCTGTCCAGTTTGAAAGCACCGTGATTCTTGTATGCCAGATACAAAACAAGAGGTAACGAGGACCCAGAAGCCGAGCCCCTTCCATGAACCTAAAACAATTGCGCAATGTTAGGAGCCCGGCCATACATTAGTTTAAAGAGGGGATGAACTACTTGCTCCTCTTCTGTATCACCGTGAAATATCCCGGAACCAAACAGCTCGTTATAAGCATTATGTGCATCTTCCCATTCGCCATCGGTATGTAATTTGAGTGCCCGTTGGTAAAGCTTCAGAGCCTCTTCGATCTGCAAACGGTAAGTTTAGTAAGCTGTAATAGGTTAAAGTAAAACACGAACTTGAATTTCTCGAGTATTATCGGCTTCTCCATCGCTGTCGGAATCTGGGTATACGTTAAGAGGGATGAAGGAAGACTATCAATCAGGGTTAGCATATTCATTGACTTTTGTAAGTAGAAGCCTACCATCGAGCAAAGACCAGAGGTTCAAGCAACTGGAACTTCTACCGAGTTACGGAGTGATTGTATATAGGAGCTCCGGGAGGCTTCTTAATATAAGAGAGGTAGAAAAGGGGTTATGATGGGTTACTATGGACTATGATGATTGACTGGGTTCAATGGCAGAGATCGCGTCAGGCTAGCGGGACACTCCGGAGGGTTTGGGGGGGATGCGTGTTATGGTTTGCCAAGAGGAATTGCTTGTGCAGGGCCAAGCATTGAGGCTCTTATCATGCACAGGTATGATACTTGTTGGTTACCGTATCGTAGTTTAGAAACAAAACTGTCGAGGGAGAGAAGAAGCATAAATTTAGTAGTCTACTGTAAAAGTTTTTTGTTTTATTTATTAGTTTGAATAGGATAAAATTTCCAGTTATTATAGATGAGATGATTTTCTATTTAAAAGATGGATAAATATGAGAGCTTAAGTTATTGCATTTCTTATTAGACATGTTTTTAAGTATCGGTACTGGTTACTGTTATTATGATTTGGATTTGGAAGTTTCTTTTGTTTAAGAGGTTTTTAGGCCATACTCGGATACAGGAGTGGGTTTCCTTGTATTTAAAAAATCTACCGACTAATGAAAACAAAAGCCCCCCAGCACATGTTACTCGTACGAGTACAAAATGGCACAATACCACGATGTCGCATTCGCGAAGAGTGGGCAACTCTTCGAATTCCCTAAGGGCACTTGGCAGAGTAGCCAACCTTTCAGGTGCTGTTGTCGAGTCAGAGCTCTATCCATCTAATCTTATCTTGTGCTTGCATCATGAATCTAATCAGATGTAAACTCCAAGCCGCAGCTTTTCCGAAACTGCATCAGCCTGCCCTACCGTTAGAGCAGTTGACAAGCATTGCAGCTTCACCAACCAAACCCTCTCTTACTTCTGTGAACAATTCCTATCTCCCATCTGGTTGAATTGAATCTTGGTGAATCGAGCTTCCAGGAGCTATGGTTGCCCCAGCCGTTCCAGAGTTCGTTTACCCCTCTACCCCCTCCTATCTCTTGCCTCACACCTCATCTCCTTTCCCGCTCGAGTCCCCGGGGGCATTTGGAGTTCTGGGCATCTGCCGCTAACATAGTGTCTCCGAAGGATTGTCGAGTCGGAAATACATGAATCGGTGAACACTCGTACTGAATCGCTTCCCATTCTGCGTGAATTGGGACCCCCGGATTTAGTTCATCTAACAAAATCTCAACCCAAGGTTGGCTTGAAAGAGGTAACCGAAACCCTTTCCCGCTCATCCCTGCAGTAGCCTGTTCTGTCACCTCGTCTTTCTGGCAGCTTAAGCGTCGTATAGATTGGTACCTATCATCATGTTACTGGAGTGGATGCTTCTTCTTCAGCCTCCTTAGCAGCTTACATCAATACCCTCACCTATCTAATCGGTGAGAACCAAATTTGGTTTGGCAAACCGCAATCATGGCGTATAACGACGGGCATATATTGGTATGTATTCCATCTTGTCATGTTTGGATGAACTAGCTTGCGCCCCTAGAGCTGTTTGTTAAGGTTGAGGTTTTAGCTGTTATAATGCTTTCTCCCGAGTAGACATGCGGGTTGAGGTTAAAATCCCTGGATCCGTTGAGGCATATGCGGTGGATGAACGTGGCGAAAAACGGATGGCATCGGAATTACTCTGGCTTGAAACCTATCTATGTGGAGTGCTGCGAGCGTTTAACTATGCTGATGACCAACAAAATCGGATTGTTGGCTGTAGGAGATTTAACCCAATTACCAATACCGAGGCGGAGCATAAGTTTTTAGATGCTGCAGAACGGCTGTTCTCCCGAGGTACGGTTATAGCTCGCACTCTCTTTACATACAATGGCTTAATGGGGAATATACAGGCTGGCAATTGGGTTCTGATCCTGAGATCCAGGTCCCAAACATGGTCTCAAATTACTTAACTTCTGGACTCCTCACGTACATTCACACTACTGGTCGATTTGCGTCAGGGGTGAATCTTTTTGAAAAACTTCGCTCAAAGGAACCTGAGGTTGCTTCTCTTCTAGCACGTGTTTTGATTGACGCGGATGAGGAGGTCAAGGCTGTGTCTCTGTTATGCGAGACCATCAAGCTATTGCCGTTGGATAGCGGCCTTCTTGATGTTCAAGCGGCCTTCTGCATGAGCAAAGGGCGATATGATCTCGCTTTGGAATGCGCCAAGAAGGCTGTTAACAGTGCCCCAAGCGAATTCACCACTTGGGAACGGCTCGCTCAGGTATACCTGAAGCTCGAGCAATATGAACTGGTTTGTTTGCCCAATTCCTGTTTTGGGGGAGCGGGTGTTCATACTGCAACTGCTTAGGCTCTCCTCACCCTTAATTCTTGTCCAATGTTCACCTATCAAGATCGTGACCACCCAAAAATGCCACAGCCAACCAAAATGCATCTTCCTGTCCTCGCTGAGTCGGTCCTGGATGAGATGTCTGACGAGAGTCACGACCCTAAACATGACAAGCTGGATGCAGCTTTGCTGAAGCTTCCAGCTGCCAGCTTGAGGGGCACATTTGCCAAGGCATATAAACTCCTTACGGAAATTACTAGCCAGATTGGATGGGACATGCTCTTGAAATATAGAAGCAATGTTTTTGTTATGGAAGAGGAATATCGGTTTGAGAAGAGTGCAAGTGTCACAGCTGTCAGGACAGGGAGTACGAGCAAGAGTAGCGGCTCCGATTCGGAGGACGAAGGGCAGGGCTGTGATAGGCCAGCTATTAATGGTCATAGTGAGGGAATAGGAGCAAAGGAGAATGGTGAAAACGGAAAAGAGCACGGTGGTCAAGGAGAGCATCCAGATGTTATTGAGAAACCCGAACACTCTGTTCTGCCTGAAGAGGTGAAGGGTGGGGCCGAAACCGGGCATCCGAGTTCTGAAGGAAGAATATCTACACAGAAGTATTCTCATATTCAGAATAAACGCCTTTGTGAGCGATGGCTGGACAACCTCTTCATGGTTCTTTATGAGGTATTATTATTTGATCTTATCACGGTTTTGATGAAGCTAATGCCGAACCAGGATCTACGAGTCTACACCATATGGCGGTCAGACCTCGTTCGCCATGGGCAACAGAAACGTCCCTATCGTAAATCTGCTACTGAGCTCGAAATACTTGGGGAGCTAGCTCAGCGTCTCCATCATCATGCTGAAGCAGAGGAGGCCTTTCAGTCACGCCTTCAAATCCGCTTCTCTGCAAGAGCGCTCCGTGGCGTTTTACAAACACAGGAGAAAAACAAAGACAACAGAGGTGCTTTAAATAGCATTATTCGATTAACTGCTTGGCAATATAGATGGTATTCGGAGGTTCGTATCTACATCTGCTTGAATTTAGGATAGGTGACTGATAGCGTAGTTCTCGCCTGCGATCCTGTACTCGATACGAAAATTGATTGCTGAAGACGGGGCAGTCAAGGTTCGCAGCATTGTCCAAGCCACTAACTTCCCGCAGAGTGTTCTTGACTTGACCCATAATTACGCTCAGCTCTGTGCCGCCTTCCGCAGTAGCGGTAGCGATGGCTAGAATGATCAATCGTCCCGCGTTTCACTCTTCTGCTAGACAGAGAGACCTCCCGATCGACGAAATGTTTTTGTTTCTTACTTTTGCCCATGAAGGAGACGCATTTGTTGCAGGGAGCGCTCTTTTTATTTTTTTTCTGAGAGTCTGTTCTTTTTAATTGCACATTGGTATTCTATTCAAATCGCAGGAAGACAGAAATAAAATTTTATTGGCTATCTTTCTATCGATCACTCAGAGAGGACATGCTGTAGATTCTTTTTGCCTCGGGGTTTTTGTTGGTACCTTAATGAACACGATGGTATTTTTTGAATGAGTTTCCAATTAAAATTTAATAATAAAAAATACAAGTTCTGTCTGCCATGGGGCTAGCAATCTCTCGCCTAAAAGGTTCGGAGGCCTTGCAAAGCTATTTCCAAATTGGTTAAATATCTCCGGGCATTTTTAAGAGCATCGGCCTAAATTAACGGAGAGAAATGTTGCTATGGGGTCATTATATATCACTCGGTGTCCAGCTCCCAAGCGCGGTGGATTGATCTCTAAAGAACCTGCTAAATTGTGCAAATATTCGGGGTTGAATACAGTACATAGCGTGTGATTGGGTTATTGGTTACAAGTGCTATAGATTACAATCACATTAGTGAAGAAAGTTGTAGGATGAAAGCTATAAATAATGAGTATACATCAGCAAAGAAAAAAGAAAGAAAAAAATACACGGTATCTGGTTCTTGTTTTCTTAATTATTATTTTTTTTTTTACAAATACTCTGTAAATATACTATACTAGCTATGACAAAAAGTATCATAAACATGACTTAGTAAAGAAAAGGTTTTCACATGACTCATGATTATGAGTCATAGGTATATTATGGTTTCATGCATATGACTCATTTAAGTCATATGACTTGTTATGTTATAATTTAATATGTTTCACACATGGCTCAATTATGAGTCATGGAACATGCCCATGGCAAGTGTGCTTTGCAAGTATGCCTTGCACATATGATTTAGGTTTCATACATGACCTAGTTATGAGGTCATAGGTTTCACGCATGTGACCACTTTAGGTCATATGACTTGTTTGTTGCGTTGTGATTGGTTTATGAGTTTTCACACATGACTTTGCTATTAGGTCATGGGTTTTATGCATATGACTACATTAATCATATGACTAGTTTGTTAGAATTTGATTTTACGCATGTGACCACGTAAGCTTACATGACAAGGGGCGGGAAGAGCACTATATAAGGAGGCCAGTCTGGCTGAGGAGGATAGCCTCTTTACACTTTGTTCTAAGTACTTTCCTTATCCTTATTTTATCCCGTATTGGAACATGAAGGTTTGGACTCAACCAATCAGAGCCCTTGATTTCAATCTCACGATAGGCTTCAAGTATTTAACTTCAATCATCCTATTAGGGCATCATTGTTAACCCTCCTCCTATGATTGCAGGAAGTTCTTTCTTCCATTTACCTATCTTTACATTTATTTGTTTATGTCATCTCCTCACAATTACAATAGTTAAGTGAGCCTCTGTCCACTCTGCGATGTCCGCTTTGCGTTCATCAGTGGTTCTATCTTGTGCAGTCAAGAAGATCTTCGCCCTGGAGGCCGAAGTCTCTCGCCTTCTGCATTATATCTCTGTCACATTTTTGTGACTTCATCGTGTTGAGAAGGAAACATCTACCTTGTTGGCTGTTCTAGCTACTAAATACACTACAGTTCATGGTTTGGTCATGATATTTGCAGCCGATGCTAGTACAGTTATCCCTTTTTCACCGGTTCTCTTGGTCATTTCGGTTACTATGGTGGTCTCTGTTGTAGGCGGTAGACTAGACCCTGAGAGTTCTTAGGGTCCAGTGTAGGAGGGAACTCAGGGGAATGTTATGCTTGCAGTTATCCCTGTCCCGCCTGCAGCTTCAGCTGTGGGTAGTAGTGTGGGTGGTTTAGCTCCTGATTCATCGAATGCAGAGGAGGTACATGCTCCTAGTGTAGGTGAGGTGGTTCCTGGTATGGTGATCCCAGCGGTAGTAGTATTACCTCCTTTGGAGAGGTAGGTACCAGAGTCCTCTGTAGCTGGTCGGGGTAATGCCTCTAGTAGCGTCCTCCTTATAGGAGTGGGTTGTGATAAGAGTGGCCTATCCACTCCCATTACAAGATCTGCACCTGGGCGTGGGAAGTGGAAGAGAAACAAGTAGTGCTGAGTCAAGCAAGAGGAGACCTCACCTGTACTACTTGTTCCCGACTCGAAAGGGTTATTGCCTGTACCAGTTCGCTATCGCCAACCAGCTGCTACAGAGTCCATAGTGGGTTCGCCACTTGTGGAGGGAGCTGTGGAGGTTGAGGAGGACTTGTGTTCTTGGGTATGTTTGGCCAGATGTCGATGGTTTAGGGACTACATGATCCTGACTACCTCCACCAAGGTTTTTGGACTGTGCTGCTACTGTAGTACTCCTGGGATTCTCAATGACTGTTCATACCCTCTCAGCTAGAAAGCCCTCAACTTGTAAGTCGGCTTTCCTGTGGGTCTACATGCTTGGGCTTTCAGTGTTTCTTTTGTTGCAATTTGTGGATGGGATGCCAGGCCAGTAGGCGGAGATCTCCCAGGATCATTGAGTGGGGTCATTCGGGTGGGCTTCTGATGGAGAGGAGGTTTTCACATTGTCATATTCAGGTGGCGGTAGTGGATTTTTGTATTTTGTATGGGTAACTTGACTGGCGAGTAGGCTAGGCTGAGGAGGATTTTCTTTACTATTGATGGCTTTGTATTTAGTGTTCATGTTGGAACATGATATAGGCATGTTTGAGGTATGGAGTTAGAGGTTTAGTTAGTTGGTATTTAGTAGTATTTGGAATGCAACAACCTTGGAGCCTGGCCCTAGAGCTCGTGGTCTGCCAGTATTGGCGATACAAGCTTAACTAAAATTGGATTGACTTCTAAGTACTTTTCCTACTCTTACATTCACTCCGTCTCGGATTTGAGCACACCAATACGTTACCTTATTATGTTCGCAATAAATACTTCATATTTTGTTTTTCGTTTGTGTTTTTCATTTTGGACAGTCGGTTAGAAATAGTTGTTCTTACTTAGAAGGCACTTCAATGTGTGATATCCATAGCCTGGTCCTGCTAATTATGGACTGTATTTTGGGTGAGGATGGTATCTTAGAAAGCCTTCTCCTTCACGGATTCTCCCCCTCCATCAAGGATGTTATCCCCAATTTGGTTTGGCTCTAACTCCTCCTCCTTCGTTGAGACCACCCATGTGGTATTGTCTCTTACACATATTTCCGAGGCTGAATGTTGCCTCATTCTTACAACTACACGGTCCTACGTTGCACCCAGGGGGGACTTTAGCTTCCTACAGCTTCACCACTATCACAGTTGTCAGAATGTGATAAACCCGCAGTTTGATCATCAGGATCTGCAAATAGTCACTGGTGTGACCATTGCTATGATGAAAGAAGTAGAGGTTTTGGTGTGGGATTTCCTACTTGGGAGAGGCTGTTCAGCCACATGTGGCGTAAACACGAACTCTACTATGGGAGAGATATTTGAGTTCACTCAGTCATTCCTGGAGTTTTTGGTGTTGAGTTCTGTCTGTGATGGTAGTTGTAAGACAGAATACTTATTTACACCGTTTTGTTACCTGCTAGTTATTTCACGATGCTAGCACTGACTGCCTCTTCATCATGGTCGCTTATAAGCTCCTTTTGGTAAAATGTCTTTAGCTTCATGTCTGTTGTCTATTCGCAGGTTTTGCATTCAATTAGAGGGATTGAACATTGTATTTGAGGAGATCACCCGTATCATTCTTAGGACTAGCTCTTGTTTGTTGGGTTTCAATAGAGTCCTTAGTTCTCGCGATACAAAACACCCTTGGAATAGACTAATGACCTTCCCAAGTTTCAACATGTCTTACCCGTCATATCAATCCTTATATGGTCAGCACCATACCTGCTCTGCCCCTCATCATTACTAAATATTTCTACAGTTGGTAACCTACAATGTTCTTTATCACTATTCCCAAGATAGTTCAGTGAGTCATCTCCTTCTCGCTTCGGTAGAGTTGGCTTTAATTCTAAACCTTTTTACCCTCTGGGCAGCTTTTACAGTGGTTTGGAGTAGTGTGAGGCGATTGAGTATCAGGTATCCACATCGCCTGAGCATTGAGTTAGTTCAGTTATGGATTGTAGTTGGCAGCTTTCCCTATTGCAAGTGGGATATACCTTCTGTTGGACTGATTCTGTTCGTCTGCCCTCCACCTTCCTGTTACATCTGTTGGGGTGCTTCTTGCCTGTTGTTCGGTCTGTGCCTTTTGCTGGACCTCTGGAGCTGGATTTGGCTAGCACTACCTGACAATTTCCCAGTCCAGTCACACTTTGGTTCGGTTGAATTGAATGGTGCAGCGGGTACCAGTGCCTTCGGGTATTGGTGCTGCCTCCTTCGTGGCTCCCGGCTATGGCAGATGGGCCCTACCTGGTTACATAGTACTGGGGGACAGGGCTTTGCCAGTATAGCCAAGACCAGTAGCTGCCTTGTGGGGCTAGGTATAGGCTATCCTGTAGATGTTGGAAGGTTGACCTCTTTGTGGGGCTGCGAAGATTGGATGGACTCTGTGGCATCTGGTGTGTGGGACTTGGGGGGGGGCTGATTAGGAGAGGAGAGGTATCTTTAAGTACTGGTCAGGCCTGTGTCATGTTGGATGAGGTCTAATCCAGTGTTTCCAGCCAGACATGGGCAGTTGGGTGAAGCTGCTGAGTGCTGCAAAGCTGCCTGATGGACCAGTTAGGCTGATAGCCACCTGTATATATAGTAGGTTGCGACCACCTGGTTGGACTTGTTTGTGTCTTGTATACTGAGTTTTGTGAAGTTTACTTAGTTTTTTTAGCTTGGCTACAGGTATAGTAGGAGGGGGCATGGCACCAGGGGTGGAAGATAGGCTCAACTGACTGTCTCAGTCTGTCACCACCTCTATATATTTCTTTTGTTTTCAGGATTTTTGTTTGAGGAATAGGCAATGGGTACAGGTCCTCCTCACTGGTACGTGCATAGGAGGCAACTGGTAAAGTGGATTCATAGAGTCAATAGCCTAGCATAGTAGCACGAGAGGTGGACATGTTATTCGCCTCCTCTCTGCCACTGTGTTGCCTGTAGGTTTAGTTGGTTTTGTTCATTTTCTACTGTGATACCGCTATCGTGGGATGGTATTTAGACCATGTAGTAGTGTTTCTTTTTTTTTTTTTACTTTTTTTATATTTGTTGGACAAGGAACCTTGTCTGGTTAGTCTTTTATTTAGCTTTAACTACACTTAGTGCTGATTGACTTCATATCAGAGAGGCTACAGACTTGGACAG